TAAAGACCCACCTGCCTCAGTCTCCCGAGTTCTAGGATTAGAAGAGTGAGCCACCACCACCCAGCTGAGGAATTCTTGGTGACTCAACAACGGCCTGAATGCATTTGCTTCTCTGTGAACTAATTGCTTAGATATGACTCTTGTAGTTCAAATAAAGATTTTTGAGCATGTCTGAGCTGGTTAACTTTGGTCCCTGGGATCCACATGGTGGAAGCCGAGAACCAACTACAAGTTGTCCTCTGACCTATACAACACACACACACACACACACACACACACACACACACAGACACTTTCACACACATACACAGACACACTCACACACACACTCACACACACACTCACACAGAGAGACACACACAGACACACACTCTCACACACATACACTCACACACACACACAGACACACAAAGACACACACAGACACACACACTCACACACATACTCACACACACAGAGACACACACACACTCACACAGAGACACACACACAAATCATTGTACTAATTTGTTTTTTGTTTCTTGGGTTTTTTGTTTTGTTTTGTTTTTTTGAAACAGAGTTCCTTTATATACTCATGGCTGTCCTGGAACTCACTCTGTAAACCATGCTGGCCTTGAACTCACAGAGATCCTCCTGTGCTCCTGAGTGCTGGAACTAAAGGTGTCACATGGCACACCCTGACCTGTAATAATTATTTTAAGGTTGGGTTTCCTTCGGTGAATTCTAATTATCAGTGGGATTTTTTTGGTTTGTTGATTTATTTTTGGAGAGAGGGTCTTGTCATGCTGACTTATCTGGCTTCAAACTCATATATAGCCCATGTTGGCCTTGAACTGGTGGCAATTCTCCTGCCTCAGCTTCTCAAGTACTGGAATTACAGGAGTGGGCCAGCACCCATGGTTTCATCAGTGTTTTACTGCAACTTTTGAGAGTTCTGCAACTTGTTTTGGACAAAAACATCCAGAGTCTTAGGTTAATATCTGAGGTAACAGACAAAAGAGGGAGAGAGACCTTTCCCCTAAGTAGATTAATTATAGTGAAAATTATAATACCTCCTGATGGGGGAAGTCCTTCTGTGTATATGTTGTCTAATTGGTTGATTAAATATAGCACTGTTGGCCAATAGGGAAGCAAGATAGGTGGAAAAGAGGCACAGTCAGTCATGATGTAGGACTTGGGAGAAGTAAGAGGTCCAGACCCTTTTCTCTGGTAAGAGAAGACCATGTGGAGATACTCAGATTAGCAGTTATGGGTTAATAATTAAGTCAGAGCTAGCCAATAAAAAAACCAAGCAAACGGCCAACAGCTTCATAATTAATATAGTATTTTGTGTGTTATTTGGGGGCTGAGACAGCTAGGCACCCAGGCAGCTGTTGAGAAGAGTACACATTACAACCTCCTAAATGAATTATTAATGAATTTGAAAGAGAAATTCCCTCTGGAATCTGGAGAGACCACATGACATAAAAAAGCATAAGGAAACAATGATACATATCAAAGTTGATGAGACAGAAGCTTGAAGACTGCATATGTGTACCTGGACAATGAGAAAGCTTCTGAAAAATAAAACAAAAACAACCTGATGACAGGCACAAATGCTTACTAAATGTCTCAGTATGTTTGTGATTGGTTATTTCTGTTATTGGTGTCTGAAGATCAAGTTACTTTCCTAAAGTGATGCTTTACATCCTGAGACATCAAAAAAAGAAGATGTGGGCCGGGCGTTGGTGGCGCACGCCTTTAATCCCAGCACTTGGGAGGCAGAGGCAGGCGGATCTCTGTAAGTTCGAGACCAGCCTGGACTACCAAGCGAGTTCCAGGACAGCCTCCAAAGCCACAGAGAAACCCTGTCTCGAAAAACCAAAAAAAAAAAAAAAAAAAGAAGATGTGACAATGTGGACAGGGTCATCTAAACCACCCCCTCCTCGTGTGACGTGGATGTTTTCCCAGACTGGCAGTGTTCTGTCTGGTTCAATCCCTACTGTCACACAGATTTGGGGACGTTTTCTGAGCTTCCTCTGACTGTGCTGCAGGTATACAGAGGTCAGAGAGAAACTAGATAACTAGTGTAGATTTCAAATTCCTGTCGCCTCAGGGGGGAGGAATAACCAGCATAGCAAGGTTTTCTCTTGTTTACTTCTACCACAATAACTCAGGCTCTCCCATCATAAGAATTACAACTTCACACAACAAAGGAATTCAATAAATATTCGGGGAATGGGAAGTGGGTAAAACAAATTGAAGTTTAACTTTTCAGTTCCCACATGACTCAAACACCTTGAAAACTCCTCAGCAGCAATGAGAAACCCAGAAGAAGAAAATGAAGGACTTCCAGATTGAGAGAGGTAGCTAAAGATAGGAGCTTGAAAGAAAAAGGAAAAACGGGCAAAATAATCGGCAAGGAGGGGCTGGAGAAATGGTTTGGCAGTTGAAAACACACACACACACACACGTACATAGTTAGATATTTGGGTTTTTTGTTTGGTTTTGATGGATTCTCTTTCATGTAATCCAGGCTGGCTTCAAGCTTATTGTTAGCTACTGATGACTTTGAACTCCTGATACTTCTACTTCCACATCTCAAGTACCGGGATCATAGGCATGTGCTACCATGTTCACTTTATCCTAAGATAATATTCTTGTAATACTTCCAACGGTAACATAAGGTGCTTTTCTTGCTTTTGACCAGCAGTACAGTTCCAACTTCCTCTTCAGTATGTATCCTATTGTTCCTTTGTAGCTACACATAAATAGCTACAGTGTATCTTTTAACATTATTTACATGATATTATACTATTCTTTTTGACATTTTTTTTATTTCCCAAAATAGTTGAGAAGTTTTTGTTTTATTTTGAGACAAGGTTAGCCCTGAACTTGCAGCAATCCTCCTGCCTCAGCCTCCCAAGTGCTGGGATTATAGGCAACCAGGCTTAGCTTTTTCGGAAGTTCTTTCTACATCTTCCTTCCACTCATTTAGTAGCAAACTTAACGTAGTTAAAAAAAAAAGAAAGAAAAGGAAAAGAAAGACAGCACACATTAGGGACTAGACACTAACTGAAGGTTCAGCTAGTATTTGACCTTCCTGTGTGTATTGTATGTATGTGTGTACTTTTCTTATTGTTTGATTGATTTGGTAACAGGGTTTTCTGTAGTGCCAGCCAGATGACCCTGACATTCTGATCCTCTTTACCTCTATCTCCAAAGTGCTAGGTTTATAGGTAGGCATGCACCACCATGCCATACTGAATGCAGTGCTAGAGAATTAATCCACGGCTTCACTGATGCTACACAAGAACTCTACTAACTAAGCAAATCCCCCAACTAGTACTTTAAAAATTTATTTATTTGTTTGTTTTTATGTGTATGAGTGCTCTATCTGCAGGTATGCCTTTATGCCTGAAGAGGGAATCAGACCCCACAATGGATGGTTGTGAGCCACCATGTGGTTGCTGGAAATTGAACTCAGGACTTCTGGGAAAGCAGTCAGTGCTCTTAACCTCTGAGTCATCTTTCCAACCCCTAACTAGTACTTTAAAAATAACAAACAAACAAACATAATAACTACTTATTGAACAGTCACTGAAAAGGGTGTGAAAAAGAAACCAATTCAGAATCGTCTTTACAAGCCCCTACATTTTCTCCTGTTCAATATATCTGTTGTTGTTATTGTTTTGTTTTTTAAGATTTATTTATTTATTATGTGTAAATGGAGTTCTTAGCAGAAGAACATCCCCCGTCAATTGTGTATGCAGTGTCCTACCTGTATGTATGCATAAAGGCCAGAAGAGGACACCAGATCTCATTGCAAATGGTTGTGAACCACCAAGTGACTGCTGGGAATTGAACTCGGATCCTCTGGAAGAACAGCCAGTGTTCTTAGCCTCTGAGCCACCTCTCCAGCCCCTCAATTTGCTTTTATAAGACATGCATAGCCACTGTTTCAGTATAGTTGTAATCTGAACACAGAATTAAGCAAATGTGGTGGTGCATGCCTGTTGAGGTTTGAATAAGAGGCTCCCCCATAGGCTCAGATGTTTGAATCTTGGCACTATTATGGTAGGTTCAGCAGGTACGGCCTTGCTGGAGGAAGTGTATCACAAGGGGCAAGCTTTGAGGTTCAAGGCCACAGACGATTCCCAGTTCTCTCTCTCTGCTTTGCAGTTCAAGATGTGAGCGCTCATGCCCCAGCCACTGTGACTGCTGCTTGTTGCCATGTTTTCCCACCACAACGGGCTCCTAGCCCTCTGGAATGGTCAAGCTCAAATAAATTCTTCTCTAAGTTGCCTTGGTCATGGTATCTTATCACAACGATAGAAAAGTAAAAAATGCACCTGAAATACCATCACTTGGGCAACAGAGGCAGGAGGATTAAGTGTTCAAGCTCACCCTAAGCTACACAGTGAGTTTAAAACCAGTGGCTACTTGTGACCTTGTCTCAAAAACAAACAAACAAACAAAAAACTGCCTCTCTCTAATCAGCAACCTTCCAAATTCTCAATCACCCATTCATTTTTGTTTTCACTTAGGCCAATCAAACTTCATTCAAGTATGAACTGGACTAATAGGCAACAGTGTTTCAGATCAGTAGTCAAGCCTTCTGGTCACTAAACCAGCTTGCACTCTGCACAGGATCTACTTTGGGCTATTTCTAACTTCATAAGGCTTTGAATAGGTCTCTATATTGACCTTTCCATCTTTCCACTCCGGTAAATTCTGGGATTTCCTAAAGAGAATTCCCCAGGGTCAACCTTTGGATTTCTGGTGATGGCTTGTGAAAACTTCTCTAGGAAATCCGGGCCTGGGAGAAGCAAGGAGACAATCCCTACTCGCTAAACCCATTCAGAGGAATAGGCATTCATTTTCCTACCAAAGGGGGCGCTGGACAGGATGGGCAGGCGGCCAACTTCCTTCTCTTTAAGGTAGGCGGCGCTCCCAGGCCGGGCCGTGACGTCATCTCTCAGCGTCGGGGGCGGGATGCGCTAACGCCATCTCCGGGCGCCCGGCTGGGGGGGGCGCTGGGTGTGGGGCGGCTCCGGGGCCGGGGATGGCGGCGGCCGCGGTGGCGGCGGCTCCGGGACGAGCCGGAGGAGTCCAGGGAGCTCCGTGAAATGGGCCGGTGAGTGTCGCTTGGAGTGGTGTCCGTCTGGCTGGCCTGAGGCCAAGCGGGCCTGGGTTCGGAGCTCCGGTGGAAGGTCCCCCTAGAAGCCCGTTGCTTCACCGGGCCGAGGGGCCCCCAAACATCGGGCATTGAGAGCGAACGAGGCCGTGCCCAGTCCTCTAGATGTTGCTTTCCCGCCTGGCCCGGAAGGTGGCTTCAGGCCCTGATACTCCAGCGGTGTTGTCCCCACGGGCCAGGATGTCCGAGTTCTCAGGGCGGGAAGGGGCCCCCGAACAAGGAAGCGTCGCCAGCGGGGCCTGGCTTCAGCCAGATGTCCGACCCCCGACTTTCTAAACGTAGAATGGCTCAGTTCAGGCCTTACCCTTGTCGGAACAAGGGTTGAGGAATCATCAAAAGCCATCACACCTGATCTCTTCCAGGCTGCTCCCTTTTTGTGGAGTGCACCTCTTTCCCTCAGCGAATTTGGGTCTCTCTCAGTATGCAACCCCTTGATTCCAATCCAGGCACGAAGAGGAGTTGCGTTCTCGTCTCTTTCGGCAGGTCTCTGAACGGGCTCCCTTGCCCCTTAGCTCAGTTGGGTTCACAAGTTGTGTCTTTTCCCATGAGAAATTCTCCAAAGCTGCTCCATACACCCACACCCAGGTTTCAGATTCTCAAATGTTTTGCTTTGTGGGAACCGGTGAGCAGCCTGAGCCTTCTGCTTTTTTTGGAGGGGGGAGGTTGGGGGGTTAGAGTTTTTGCTTGTTTCTGACCTTTCATTATCTTGTGTTTGCTAACTCCTTGGTGACCCAGAGACAGGTTTTCTTAGCTTTTTCAGCTACAGAGAGCAAGCATCATTTGGGGGAGTTAAGGAGAAAGCTGGGTGCTTTCAATTAAAAAATGTTGATGATGAATGAATGCATTATTTGTACCCAATTTGTGATTTGTTTGTGTCTTTAGGAATTTGTTTAGTGTACTGTTAAAGTATGCCCATCTTTAGGCCTTCAATTGGATCAGTGCTCACAGAATTCTGTGTGACTTTGACAGAACAGGCAATAATTTCTCAGAACTTGTCAACAATGCTAACTCTCTCTATTAAGACTGTTGGCCCACTTGTTGTTTTTGTGTTGGTGTTTCCTTTGAGACAGGGTCTTACGGAGCCCGGGCTGATTTGTGTGACTTACTGTATGCTTGAATGCAGTAGAGGATCACCATGTCCAGTCTGTGATGCTGGGGACCAAACCTAGGGCTTGATTCGTGCTAGGCAGGCACTTTACCTACTGAGCTGCATCTTGAAAGGCCATGCTCTTTAATTATTGATGTTTCTGGCAAGTGAAATTCAGATATTGGTAGCTTAGTAATAGTTTTGTCCACCATTGTTAGCTCCATAGGCTCAAAGAGGTATTTTCATTTTATTTCACATTTCATTCAGTAGTGTGAAGTTGTCATTAAGAAAATTTCACACACACACACACACACACACTTTTAATTTTACTTAGAATATCTGTTAATATGGCTTTCACTTTGAGTAACTCCCCCTTGACCTCTTTTTCTGCCCCAGAAACATAAATAATTGTTCCTTTTCCTCTAGTGCCACCTTTCTTATTTAAATAATTTGTGTACTCAATAGGCCTTAATAAAGGTGAAACTCCCCACTTGTCATTGTTCACATGCAAACAGTATTAAGTCTCCCATTTTTATTTGTGCATTTAAGCAAAATTTGGATTAGAAATAAGTTTACTGGTTGGGGAGTAGGATAAAGAGTAGAGAATAAAGAATATGATGATAAAGAAACCAATAAAGCCGGGCGTTGGTGGCGCACGCCTTTAGTCCCAGCACTTGGGAGGCAGAGGCAGGCGGATCTCTGTGAGTTCGAGGTCAGCCTGGTCTACAGAGTGAGTTCCAGGACAGCCTCCAAAACAATACAGAGAAACCCTGTCTCGAAACCCCCCCCCCACAAAAAAGAAACCAATAAAACCTGACACATGGAAACTTTTCCCAGGGATATCTTACAAAAGTTAAAGCTAGGAGATGTTTTCTTTCTTCTTGTTTTTGTTTTGTTTTTAGTTTGTGTGGAGGCCAGAGGCCAGCTTTCAGGATTCGATTCTCTCCACAATGTGGGTCCCAGGTACGGAACCCAGGTCACTACATTTGGTAGCAAGTGCATTTTTACCTGCTGAGCCATCTCAGTGCCTTGGAATTTTTTTTTCTGCTTCAGTTTCCTAGGTACTCTGGGTAAATGTTACCTGTTGGGTTGAGAATGAAGCAAGAGCTCATGAACTTTGATGGTTTTGGAATTATCTTTCATGTTGCCACTGGGAAGGGTGAACGGTCAGACTCCTTACTGCATTCTTTTTTCTGCCCTGTAGACTCCCAAGCCAAAGGGGAGGACACTTACTACAACTACTCAGAAATACCACCAGAAGCTCAGGTAATACAAGCACTTCGGAAGTTTGGCATGTGACAGTGGAAACACAGAACAGAATTCAGCCTAATTGGAGAAATCATTGGCCAAGTTCATATGCATTGACATGTTCATACGAAAAAGATGCTCTCTGATTTTATTATCTGTCTGTCTGTCTGTCTGTCTGTCTGTCTGTCTATCTATCTATCTATGTGTTTATTTTTTGAGATAGGTTTTCATGTAGCCTAGACGGGCTTCGGATTCATTATGTAGCTAAGGGTGACCTCTTTACTCACCTAAACTCTTTACTCCATCTCCCAAGTGCTGGGATTACATGCATGTGCCATCACAGGGGCTGTAAAGATGCTTTTTGACAGTGGATAAAATGATTACAAAAAGCGACAATAAGAGAAAGGAGAGAGAAAACTTTCTTCTGAATCATAAGATCTAAAAATAGTAAGTTGACATACATGTGAGGAGAAATGGAACCAGAATTTTATGACTACCCAGAGCAGACCTACTATGGATAAAGAGCCATTGGCAAAAGAAACAAAGGGGAAAAAAGAAGGAAAATTGAAAGTGCTAATACAAAGAAAAGAAGTCTTACCAGACTAGGGAACGAGAAGTATGTGTGAAGTCAGAATTAGAGGGAATGGAGGAGAAACAAGCTGTAAGCAAGTGAAAATAATCACTCTTCATGGGATCCAGGTTGGAATGTAAAGTTTCTTGGAAGAAGAAGAACAACAAAAATACTACAAATACTATATTTCATAATATGTTTAGGGAATGAGGGTTTTAGTTTTTTTTTTTTTTTTCTCAAGACAGAGTTTCTCTGTGGCTTTGGAGGCTGTCCTGGAACTCACTCTGTAGACCAAGCTGGTCTTGAACTCACAGAGATCTGCCTGCCTCTGCCTCCCGAGTGCTGGGATTAAAGGTGTGCACTGTTGTCACCACCACCCGGCTGGAACAAGGTTTAATAATAAAGAGACAAGCAAAGCTCAGCACCTCATGACATGAACGTAGCCAGCCTTGGGGTAGACGAGATAGGAGAAGTAAGATCGTAACCCAGATTATGGAGAAAGGAAACGAGTGAGGCCATGGGCTCAGGGAAAGAAGATGGCACACTAGTCTTTTTCAGCAAAAGGAGAAGTTAGGAAAGACGAGTGCTGAAAGCCTAGACACGGAGGACACTGCGAAGAGCTCAGGGCCTCATGGAAAGCATGGCTAACCCAGAAGCTGGTAGTGAAGAGGTCATGGAACCTCAGGTTATTTATGCATCTGGAGTGTTCATCCTCGGAGCTCTTTGTGCTTTGTGGTTTTCTTGACTGGTTTTTGCTTTTCTTAGGCTAACAAGTGAAGAGACAGTCTCCTGTTCTCATGTCTCATTTTCTCGCCACTTTCCTATGTTACGTCTTTCTCCTTGGGTGCAATTCTTGATATTTTGTTTGACTTGATTCCCTGTGTTACTTTCTTTGCCTCTGGTTTGTTCCCTAGCAGATGTGGGCACCCCAGCCAGCAGCAGAGAAGGGTGCAGGGAAACCACAGAGAAGTCCCTTCTGATGCCCCAAGGAGCAAGCAAACCCCATCCAGGCTCCAGGAACACCACAAAGCAATATGAAACCTGTTCATGAAAGGAGTCAGGAATGCCTTCCACCAAAGAAACGAGACCTCCCTGTGACCAGCGAGGATATGGGGAGAACTACCAGCTGCTCCACAAACCACACACCCTCCAGTGATGCTTCTGAATGGCCCCGAGGGGTCGTGGTGGCTGGGCAGAGCCAGACAGGAGCCAGAGTCAGCCTCGGGGGTGATGGAACTGAGGCCATCACTGGTCTGACAGTAGATCAGTATGGCATGCTGTATAAGGTGGCTGTGCCACCTGCCACCTTTTCACCAACTGGCCTCCCGTCTGTTGTGAACATGAGCCCCTTGCCCCCCACGTTTAATGTAGCGTCTTCACTGATTCAACATCCAGGAATCCACTATCCCCCAGTCCACTATGCTCAGCTCCCATCCACCTCCCTGCAGTTTATTGGGTCTCCTTACAGCCTTCCTTATGCTGTGCCACCTAACTTCCTGCCTAGTCCCCTCCTTTCTCCTTCTGCCAACATTGCCACCACTCACCTTCCACACTTTGTGCCATATGCCTCACTCCTGGCAGAAGAAGCTACTCCTTCCCCCCAGGCAGCATCCCCAGCCCAGCCGTTTAACAAATCCTCTTCTGCCACCTCCCCACCCGGCCAGTTACCGCATCACTCAAATACCCAACCACTGGATCTTGCTCCAGGCCGGATGCCCATTTACTATCAAATGTCTAGGCTACCTGCTGGATATACCTTGCATGAAACTCCAACAGCAGGTGCCAGCCCTGTTCTTACCCCTCAGGAGGGCCAGTCTGCTCTGGAAGCAGCTGCTGCCAATGGACAGAGACAGCGAGAGCGAAATGTAGTAAGAAGAGAAAGTGAAGCCCTTGATTCTACCAGCAGCAAGGGTGAAGGCCAGGGACTGGTGCCTGTGGTAGAATGCATGGTGGATGGACAGTTGTTTTCAGGTTCTCAGACTCCACGAGTCGAGGTGGCGGTGCCAGCACACCGAGGGACCCCAGACACCGACCTTGAGGTCCAGCGGGTAGTTGGTACTTTAGCGTCTCAGGACTATCGTGTGGTGGCAGCTCAGAGGAAAGATGAACCCAGCCCTCTTAACCTGTCCCATCACACCCTTGACCATCAGGGTGAGGGACGAGGGTCGGCCAGGAATCCTACAGAATTGGTAGAGAAAAATCAGTCCCGTGTGTTCTATCCTCAGTCCCATCAGGAACCAGTAAAACACAGACCTTTACCAAAAGCAATGGTTGTAGCCAATGGCAACCTGGTGCCCACTGGAACTGACCCTAGCCTGCTGCCTGTGGGCTCAGAGATCCTGGTGGCATCAAGTCTGGACATGCAGGCCAGAGCTACCTTCCCAGACAAGGAGCCAACACCACCTCCCGTTACCTCCTCCCACTTGCCCTCCCATTTCATGAAAGGCGCCATCATTCAGCTGGCTACCGGAGAGCTGAAGCGGGTAGAGGACCTCCAGACCCAAGATTTTGTGCGCAGTGCCGAAGTGAGTGGGGGGCTGAAGATTGACTCTAGCACAGTCGTGGACATTCAGGAGAGCCAGTGGCCTGGATTTGTTATGCTGCATTTTGTGGTTGGTGAACAACAGAGCAAAGTGAGCATTGAGGTGCCCCCCGAGCATCCCTTTTTTGTATATGGCCAGGGTTGGTCGTCCTGCAGCCCTGGGCGGACTGCACAACTCTTCTCTCTGCCCTGTCATCGGCTACAGGTGGGAGATGTCTGCATCTCTATCAGTTTACAGAGCTTGAACAGTAACTCAGTTTCTCAGGCCAGCTGTGCTCCCCCAGGCCAGCTGGGTATACCCCGAGAAAGACCTGAGAGGACAGTATTGGGGCCCAGAGACCTATGTGACAACGAGGGGAAGATCCAATCTTCAGGAGAGGGTTCCCGGGTGGGAGAGCCCTCCCAGCCTGAGCCTGGTGCTCAGGCTTGCTGGCCAGCCCCAAGCTTCCAAAGATACAGCATGCAAGGGGAGGAGGCACGGGCTGTGCTGCTCCGTCCCTCTTTCATTCCACAGGAGGTAAAACTGTCCATTGAAGGGCGTTCCAATGCAGGAAAATGAACCTCTTTCCCAGCCCAGGACTGGGGCTTTATCCCCAGAGGTGAGCCTCACCGTGAGCAGCCAGAGGATTTGCACATGTCAAGCAGAGAACGGCTCTCTTGGCAGTGAGATTTGAGGGAATCAGGGGGCATGGAGACAGCCTCCCAAAGCAGGATCTGTTGCTCATTAATTACCCCATGGCATCCTTTCAGGACAGCCCTGGGGGTGAGGAGATGGGGAAAAGCAGGCTTGGAGCAAGAAAGGGTGGGAGTGCACATAGGATAAGAAACATTCCAAAATCAGGGCCTCCCTGTTTTTTTTCCTACTCATTCCTGGCTCCTACAAAGGAAAGTACAGGCTTTGGGAGCAGGTGGCAGAGGGAGCAAAGAAAGAGCCAAAAATGATCCACAGCTTATAGTAGCAGTAAAACTGTTTTCTTTCTCTTTTTCTCCTCCTCCCCCCTTTTGTGGTGGGAGGGCAGGAGGTCCAATGGTTGAAAATGAGAAGGTTCCCACCCAGAACTCTTCTTGTAAGAGATGTGCACTTTAAAGGGTGATTTTGTTACAGATGTCTATGGCTGGGTTTGGGGTGGGGGAGCACCATGATCTATAGAACTCTGCTTGATTCTTTGCTTCTGCCCATTCCCATCTCACCTCACCATTCCTCTATAAGGCTTTCTAGCAGTTTAGGGGCCAGAAGCGGGAGGAGAAATACATTCAGGGCTGAGAATGAAGGACTGCCTTGACAGGAACCCAATCGGGGTTTTGGAGAAAAGACTTGACTGCTAGTATGGGCCCTAGGCGAGGCTTTTGAAAGGAGGTTAACCTAATGAAACTCCCATTCAACATGTCAGGCCTACTTTGACATTTCACTGAGTCTCTAATAGTAACCTTGGAGAGACCTGGAGGACCTTTTCCCTAGGCACCCACACTCTTCCATTGTCTGTCTATGTTGTGCCTAAGTGCCTGTGCTGCTCCCACCCTTCTGCTGCCCTGACCTCTGCATGGTGTCTTGATCTGGGCCTCACGTGTAGCTGCACTGCCTTTGTCCACTAAGACCTCTAGTTTTTGGTGTATAAGGGTCTCTGGTTTCCCTATCAGCTATAATTTTTATATTTAGAAACTCAAATTCATGTCCTCTTTCACTGGCAGCAATATAGTGGAGAAACAAAAAAGAAACCATGCCCTAGGCTGAACTTTCCCATTCCAGTGGTTTTACTTGGCCCCCCTCCCATCTCGTCCATTGCCTCTCACCATTTTGGCATCTCCAAGCTGTGCTCTTCCACCATCAGCTCTGAAAGTCTACAATAGTCCTTGTAACATCTTAGCAGATGTTTCCTTGTGTGGTGGTGGACTCTTCTACAAAGAACATTTTCTATCTTGGTTATTTATATTTACTGCCATCTCTCTTAAACCCACATTTCACCTACAACTTGGAGTGTCAACTTGGACTGTAGGATGCCATTGGGTATTAAGATTTAGACTCCCCCCACCACCAACTTTCAGATGGTTGAGTAGTGTGTGTGTGTGTGTGTGTGTGTGTGTGTGGTGTTTTTTTTTTTAAAGGGGGGAGTGTGTGATTCTTTTTAGACTCTTGAAGGCAACTCAGGGTATTGTCCACCCAGCTCTCTAGTTAAACTTCTCCCAGAGTATGATTGTGGCATTTCCTTCATAGATAGACTTGAACCGGCCAAGGCCTGTTCATCCTGTCATCAGGAGTCCCACACTTCTGAGGTATGAGCAAAACTTATGGCAAGTCTTGTGATCTCTCGCTCTTTCACTTCCTCCCCAGCTGCCAAATGGGGATAAATAATCTTACCTACCTCCTGGGGGGAGGGGAAGTTCTGAGAATGGAGTCATTCTTCGTGTTCAGGTGCTAAAGGTTGTTCTCCTTGGGAACAGAGAAACAAGCTGGCTGGCAAGCTACAAACCCTACATTCTGTCTCAGATCTTGAGAGCAAATACCTGGTCAGTGAGCTTTCAGGGGAGCATCCCAAGGAAGCTGCTTAGCCTGATAAGTACTTAAGTTTCAGAGTTTGTCAGTCAGATACCAACCTTGTGTGCAGTGGAAATCACGTCCTTTCCCTTCCCTTGCCCCCCCCCATTCTCTGATTGCTGCTTCTCTGGCTTATTTCCTACAGTGGGGGCCTGTGGGGTTGAGTCTTGAGGAATTCTCTCAAATGAGAGTTGTAGGAGAAGGCCTCCTCTCTGTTTTATGAACAACTCATTCCTAGGGATTATTGTATGCATGGATTTCTCAAAATTCCCCTTCCTCACATGAAGGTTCATCATGGGAATTTTGTGACATGCACTGTAGATGCTCAAGAAATGTCTACCAGGGATACCACTGAGCTTGCTAGTGGGACCAACATGCAATTGTTGAGGACTTTGACAAACTGGCCACTGACCTTTCTGCTGTGGTTCCTTTTCTATCCCTGTCTGATAAAACAATGATAGCAACTCCCTTAATATGGTGCCATGCATTTGTAATGTGCTTTTGCTGAGCTGAGAGCTACCTTCCCTGAAATGTGCGGCCCTAGAAAAGAATGCTTGTCAGAACTGTGGCAATGCTTACCCTTATCCTAAGTGTGTAAGAGGGGTGTCTTTTAGAGTGAGCATTTCAGTGGTTAGCTGTCAGCTTTTGGGGACTGGGCAGTGATAGGACATCCCCAGAACTTGAAGAAAGTTCTGAAAGAAGGGAAGTGCATATGCCAATTTAGAAGGGGAACTTGGTAAATGGTAACTAGTAATCTGAAGATTTAGATCATCCCTATCAAGACAAGAGGTAGGGAAGGGGCTTGGGCCCTCAGAGCTGAGTGCTTATACCTGAGGGAGGAGCCCAAGAAGAGCTAGACTGACCCCTCTTTACACTTCGGGTCCCATGTGGTTCTAATGACATGGGCTTTGCTCTGTGCTGCTTTGCTGTTGTCTGCTCAATGTCCTGTCTATTGCCCATCATTGCTCCTGTCCTTCATGTCTTTGGCCATGTGGATTAAGTTCAGGCATCCTGTCTATTCTTACCTGTGTTCTGCCAGTATTACTGGGTAGCACAGTCGTGTTGAATAGGGATGGTCTGCATGCTGTGTTTGGGCTGGTAGATCTAAAAGGATGTGGCTTCAGTGCTGTCAGGAGCCCATTGGCTCCAAAAATTTGCCTGTCTTGAGGGAGAAACAAGCAGGTCCTACCAGAGACTGTTATTCTCTCCTTTATGGTACTTTATAGCCTGTTTCAAAACAAGAGGGGAACCACGTTAGGGCTTGAGCCAGGATCCTAGCCCCAGTTGAGAAAGAGTTTGAAGTTTGGCTGAAATAGCTCCTCCAGTTGGGTTTAATTTTCTTTTTACTAGTAGGATCATAGGCATTTTAAGAGAACAGGATGGTGGCATGATTTAACCCTGCATTGAGTAGGCATATTGAGTGGTCACACTGGTGTGAGCTGACAGTAAGCATTGGGAAAGGCTCAGGCCTTTGGAGTAAAGATAACCAGATTAATTGAATTGGCCATGGGAGATTAGGTCACAGTCCTAGAAGCAAACAGGACAAAGGCCAAGTTTTAGAGAGGTGTGTTGACCTCCTAGGATTAAGTTTACTAAACTACACTGAAGCTATAGTACTTTCTAGATCAGAAAAGTGAAATACACTACAGTTGAAGAGCTGAATTCTACTATAAATGGATGTTGTTAGCCTTTGCTTGGAAGCCTTCACCTTCTAGCTTCCCCAGGGTTGGAAAGGTCTCCCACATTATGCAATAATAAGCATCCGGGTCTTTGCAGCTGTCAGTTTTTTGTTTTTTTCAACTCTAGGATCCATCTTTGGACTGAAAGCTTGGTCTGGGCCTAGGACAACATTGGCCCTTGATGCTAGAGTTGGTTGCATTCTCTCCTTACCTGCAGACTATGCACAGTTCCTGGGGCAGAGGGAGAGGTGGTATGGCTTGCCCTGTTGAGCCTCCTCAGCAGGAATAATAGTAATAAATGCACTTTTCACATTAAAGGTTTATTAGTTCTCCTGTTATGCCTAGGATCTTCCCCTAGTAGTTTGCAAACTCAACAGTCTGTGTGATCCCAAAGCCATTCCACTGCAAACGCCTAGCAGTAAAGATGGCCCCAGACTAGGTTCCTGTCTGCAGTGTGTGTGGCAGCAGCCCACGTGCCTTTACCTAATTGTCAGACTTGCAAGCGTTTAGTCTGTCTTTATGTTAGGGGGTCTTAGGTACTTCAGAGAGAGAACAGATAACACAGTGGTTTTATGCCCACCTCACCCCCTGCCAGGGACTTGGTGTGTAGTTATAAACTATGAGGGTTGGTGAGCTGCTGGTATTGCTGAAGGCAGGGTGGACCCCTCATTTGCTTCATATGTGCACTCAGTGAATTGGATTGGGGAAGAGACTGACCATACTCGTGGCTAATTTGAAGTATTAAATACAGCTGTCCTCTACATACTTCCTAGTCATACAGGATCCCTGTAGCCAAAACAGTATATGTTCCAGCTGCAGAGAGCAGACAGCTCTCAGCTTGCACAGCACCTTAGGGGAGGGAAGAATATATGGATAGGTAATAGGGTGGAGAAAGGATGGGGATTTTGTCATCCAGGTGGCTTTAGGGTCCTAAGGAGTAGAGAAGGATGGCACTGGGGAGGTCTGGATGGATCTGATTTGTGTAGGAGTTCCCTGTAGATAAATTACTGATCCCCCAACCACTATCCCCAGTATGTAATGGCTGAATTAATATGTAATCAACTGCATTGTATCTAAAGCCTTAGAACTAGTCAGGTGCTCCTCCCACCCAATACCATTTCTTACCCTCTAATCCTACCTGATCTTTAACAAAGCATTAATAATTCTGAGGATAATCTCTATTTTGTTGTGCTTTTTTGTAACTGTTTTAAATAAATCAATTTGTACTGTATATTTGTACTTTTGTGAGATCCTTTTTGCTGTTTTACCATTTTAAGTCTCTGTACTTGGCTACACACAGATTGTATTTTTATTGTTAATGCTCTTCTTATGGATACCTGCATTTAACTTGTGGACTATGTAAACACAATATATATCAATATCTATATATCTATATATCAATCTATATAAACTACTAGCTTTTCCTTTTGGTGTTTGAGCCTTTTTCCTATCTCAGTTTGATGGGTGGCCATTGGGCAGGATCACTTGGAGTAAAGATTGTGTGGTCATTGGTAAACTTTGCAAATGGTGAGAACTACCTGAACTGTGGTTGTCCCACTGGTATGAATTTCAGAGTTTGGGAAATCTACCTGTAGACTAGGGTTGACAGAATCATCAGTAGGACCTATAGATGTCCTCACTGCTGGTCTTTCCACCTGTCCTTTACTCTGGCATACTGCCACACACTGCTGGCTTTTGAGACAGGGTCTCTCTATAGAGCCCTGGCTATCCTAGAACTCACTATGTCGCTCAGGCTGGCCTCAAACTCTTGAGATACACCTGTTTCTGTCTCTCAAGTGCTGGGATAAAAGGTGTGCATCACCTTACCTGGCTTGTGTGGTTTTGGTTGGTTAGTTGTTTTTGCAATGGTGGGGAATCAAACCTGGGGCCCCAGCCTGTTAGGCAACCAACCACTGAGCTGGGGTTTTGAACCCATACATCTAATTCCTGAATTTGTACTAATTCAGAATGTTGTGGAAATAATTGGATAAGCCATATTAAGTGCCAAAGTATTCCTTGGGACAGAGTGCATCCAGTTATTTGAAATATGGAACTCTGTGAAAGGCGTTTGGATCAATTAAGTACTTAATTTCTTTTCAATGTAATTAAGAGTATTTTCCAGCAGTCAGGTAGGACTTAACCCTAGTTTGTTGAGAGTAGTTTGACACTTTTAAACAGCCTTAGACCTACAGAGGTGGGAGAGGAGTCCAAATGTCTGTTACATTGGAAAAGGTCCACATTCCTGGCATAGTTATTTTTCTGGCAGCAATTTAACTAGAGCACATCCTTCTGGACCTCAAGATCTATAAATATCCAGATGGTACATAACCTTTGATGCAAGCTAAGGAAAGTTCTATGCTTGTTCTTGTGCCAGCACAGAAACAGAAATTGAGCAGCTCTCATCTCCTCCATAGCATGGTAGTCAAACTGCAAGGGTGAGTGTTGTTCTGCTCTAGTCTTTATCACAGTTGACTTGATCTCACCTATGGTCCTCTGCTTAGCCTAAGTTGTAGAGCCTTCTGCCTCAGAAAAGAACAAGCCACCAGAAGTCACTAGCTGAAAATTCCCATCAAGTTCTTTGCTAGCACAATTCATTAGATGAAACAGAAATGAGACAAAAGAGCCAAAGGCCAGTAAAGAGAAAATTAATTTATTTGCCCTCACAGCTTCATGGACTGTACTGGGGTCCTACAGTCCCTTAACCCTGGCCTGCCACAATGGGCTGAGGAGTCCAGGTTTCTGGAGTGCCTGCTCCTTGTCCAGAGCTGCCTTGAGCTGGGTCCATCCTGATCCCATCATGGTCCCACAGGCAGAGTGCACAGGTTTCCCTGCAACCAACCTGGGCCTGCCTGTGGCAGCAAGGTCTGTGGCCTCCTGGGTGACAGCAGCACTGATCCCTGTGGGCTGGAGTGGATGGGAGGTCAGGCAGGAGGGTGTGGTTCAGTGCAGAGAGCTGTTGTTCTGTTCTTCAAAGGCCATTTTCCCCAGAAGCTGGCTGTCCAACTCTACCCCACTCACAGGCAACTGGAAGAAGTTCATTTCAGCTGCTAAGGCGGCCATGGCAGAGGGGTCCTGACCAAACTGAGCTCGCAACATCATGTCCATTTTCTCCAGTCTCCTCTTGAGCCTCTTAGCCTCTCGCTCTCGGATGAGTCGGGCCTGCCGCTTCTCTGGGGTTTCATTGGCCCGCTTTAGCCTCATGGCCTCACGGTCTCGCTGTAGCCGGCGAGCTCGCTGCTCATCAGTCTCCTGCATGCGTTGCAGGCGCTTGGCTTCACGGTCCCTCATTCGTCTTACCTCCCGCTCTTCTGGGGTTTCATTGTCTCGCCGACTCTTCTTGGCTGTACGTTCTCGTTCAAGTCGTTGTAGGCGTACTTCCAAAGGTTCATTCTGTCGACGGAGGGCCCACTTGCGTACATTGGGGGTCTGTGTTTCCAGTAACTTGCGGTAGGCAGCACAGTTGTTGCACACAAGCAGAATTCCAGCAGGGTATACTGGAGGACTACAAGCAATGTCCTTCCCTTCAGCACTGGAGGTGCCCTCACTGTGGACTTGGGGTAGGGATTCCATATTAAGTACTTCAGGAAGTTTCTCACTGGGAAACCAAGATTTTTGATGGTTAGTATTTCTGTGTAGCAAGCCTCAGGGACCCAGGTAACTGACTTACCCCATAACCACTAGTCAAACTGTTCCAAGTCCACCACTATGAGGGGTGGTTTGAATGCCTGGAAGACCCCTTCTCTTCTTCGGACTAGGGTGTCTACGAAATTTAAGACCCACTTTGAATTAGCAACTGATCCACCTGCCATTGAAAACTACCCAGAGTAACCCCTACAAGGCAAAGCAGGAAAGGCATTAATTGGCTTGTAGGTGCTGAGCAGGGCTGGGCCTACTGTGTGAATGAAGGGGCCTGGAGGTAGAGGTTTCCTTTAGCAGATTCGATTCACTGCTTTACTTCCTCCTGCCTGGCACTGGCCACAGGGAAAAGTAGCTTGTGTACTGTACAACCAAAGCAATGGGATGAGGACAGAGTTTGAGTCTTCCTAGAGCATGGCAGTGTGTCCTCACATCAGGATCCTCTCAGCATACTGCAACTTCTGCTTCCTTTATCATCAATGTTCTTGTGTCTCTGCATCACTTTCTAGTTGGAAATACTCTGATAGGGAAAGAAAAGCAATTCATTTCCCCTGAGGGATATCTAGTGCATACTGCTTAGCCTATCTCCTGGTCTCATTACTTGTATTTCCAGATTGTTCTATCAGCTCTTTTGCGTTACTTATCTCTAGTCTTTCTTTTGACCTGGGAAAACAGCATCTTATACCCAGTAACTTGCTCTTAGCACAGGGTTAGGTGTTCTACTAACCTGTTAAAAGTGGCATGACTAGTAAACCGGGCTCCACACACAGCACAGTTAGACCGCTGGTCTTCCGAATGGATAAGGAGGTGGCGACCCAAGGACCCTGGGGAGCTAAGGGCCCGTCCGCAGACAGGGCACATGTAACTCTTGGCACTCACCACTGCTGCAGTATGCTGTAAAACAAAGCCTTAATCTGTTAATTTTGTGTTAACCTCCAGGACAATCTGCACCCTTTCCTTTTTTCCCTTAGAATGAGAGACTTGCAACTATTTGTTTAGCCATTCAGACCACTGATCATTTTTTATTATTGTGAATTCTGCCTATATTCTGGGACATATGAATGGCTTGAAGAATAATGGGGTTCCAGAATCCTCCTCAGAGCCTGAGAGAGATTCATGTTCTTGATAGTTTTGGCTTTCCTGGCTCATATTATATAGTAACAAGTGCATTTTAAGAGTACAGTGAAGGAGCTGGATAGGAGTAGTAGTCTGTAACAGGTATGATGGCCTGCCTTTCCTCAGCCCTCTGAAGAAATTCTTTTTGTTGTTGTTGGTTTTTCAAGAAAGGGTTTCTCTGGGTAAACCTGACTATCTGGGAACTCACTCTGTACCCCTGGCTGTTCTATAGACCAGGCTGGCCTCAAACTCAGAGATCCACTTGCCTCTGCCCCCCAAGTGCTGGAACTAAAGGTGTGTAGCACCACCACCAGGCTGAAGAAATACTTCTTCTTTTTTTTTTTTTTTTGGTTTTTCGAGACAGGGTTTCTCTGTATTGTTTTGGAGACTGTCCTGGAACTAGCTCTGTAGACCAGGCTGGCCTCGAACTCACAGAGATCCACCTGCCTCTGCCTCCCAAGTGCTGGGATTAAAGGTGTGCGCCACCAATGCCCGGGCTGAAGAAATACTTCTAATGAACCAACTATCTTTATAGGTACAATCTATAAAGCTTGGTATAACCTGGGCTATCCTGTGTAGTGGTGTCTCATAAATACAGACCATTGGGAATAGGTACATTATTAATTGGATTAGGATAGGAAGGTCTGTTTTCCCTAATATGTCGTTGTGCATTTTATTTATTTTGTGTGCCTGTAGTATACCCTGCACATGGCACAGTTATGTGTGTGTGTAGGTCAGAGGATAACAAATGGCAATCAGTTCTCCTTCTGCTGTGTGGGTCCTGGGGAGTATACTCAGGTCATAAGGTTTGGTGGTAGGTGCCTTGTTGGCTCACATTATACCATTTATGTTAGCCCTACCCCCTCTAAAAGTCATCACTGTTAATAGAAGTCAGTTTCTATTTCACTACTAAATGTATTAATTTAAGAATATAGTATCATGATACTTAATTTCCAAAGTGTATCTTTCTGGGACCTCAGACCCTATTTAACCCATATATCACCATTGTTTTCTAAGCTGTTCTGAAGGGTGGAATGAATCCTAGTAGAACCAGCCACCTGAACTGCTTTTGCCAGAGGCAAAGGCCACTGCAGCACCTGAGATCTAAACCCCTGGCACTCAGTCCCAGAACTCCCCCTCCCCATTCTATACCTGGTACACATGTGCAATCAGCTGCTCCCGACTCCCACAGTCAAGCTGGCAGAGGGGACACTGGCAGAGTTCAAGCAAGGGGTCAGAGTTTAGGCTTTCTGTGACCTGCAAATCCATCAAACAGGCAAGTCATGAAGACTCCTCACCAGTCTCTTCCCTGCCCCACCCTCTCCATAAAGACCCATACCAGGTGTTATCTTCACTTCCCAGTATGGACTGAAGCATAAAGAATTGTTTGAAAGGAACTACATTTTCAAACTTGCTACCCTGAGTTAGCTTTCCTTCTGCATGTTCCTTGCAGGAATACTCGGGGAACAATTTAGCTGGAAGCTGATTCCACAGGACACTGCCTCGGACTTATCCCTGAGAGCCGTCCCAGAGTGCCTCTTAAAGTACTTCTCACTTGGCTAAGGTGGCTGCTCTGCTTGCAAAGAAGTGAGAGCGTTTACGGGCTTGGGGTGGGTGGGAGAGAAGGCTGTTGTGACGAGGACGGCTTGCCACTTGCCTCATGCTCTACTGC